TCTTTATGTTTGCGAATGCTGGACTGTACGCGTGGAGGACGAACGAAAACTGGAGGTATTTGACCACCACTGCTTGAGGACCATCCTTTGAGCGGAGTTCACCGACTTCGTCTCGAAGGAGACAGTCCACGCTCGCTGCGATGACATCGCAAGGATAACTCAGGCCATCCAGGAAAGATGACTGAGTTGGTTTGGGCGTGTTCTTCGTCTTCCACCTCAGGAGCTCAGTGTTACTGTCCTCGATCCGGCACCGTTACCCCATTGGAGGCATCGAAGAGGGGGTCAGCTCAAAACCTGGCTCGACGCAATTCGTCAAGACATGGAGATTGTTTTTGGAGCTTGGGTATTCGGTCTCCATCGCTGACGAAGAGAATGGGTTGAGCTGTCCAGATCTGCTGCCTCGGATCGTCACGCGTGGAGAGGCACAGTTCGGGACATTATCGAGGCCGGCAAGATCATGTATGATCGCAGCCGTACCAAGTACAAATAAGTACAACCCTGAGATCGAGGACGATTTTGCTCAGAATTGGCAGACGTTGCGCACTGCCGTAGGGACTGGAATCGTAATCTACAAAGCCAATCGCATAGAGGAGACCGAAGAGAAGTTACGCAAGTCTCGAGTGCTACGGAGTAACGCAACAAATGTCAAACATCAACCAGAAAGCCCGCATTGTCATCCTCAGAGCCGCCGTCACGGCAACCCTTCCAACTCACCACCCTGACACAGAGCGATGCCATCGTCATCGACGTCGTGGAAGTAGACCCGTACAGCTATTCTCTCATCCTTACCCTTCCCTCACCACCAATACCATCATTAAATTCCAATTTGTCCCCATTGCTGCCACAAGTTCATACAACACATCAGACTGGTCGGCCGCTTGCGAATCCATCACGCCGTGGCCGGTAAACCCGTGTCATGATCTCCAATAGACACCCATGCCTTCGGCTAGTTTCTCTTGTTGATCTTGGATGTGATGTCGTCGCACGGACATACTTGGCCGGAAACGCACCTATGGAAACCATCAGCAAAACAACACCGTCCAGACCATATTGTAAAACCTCACCCACCTACACGGGCTATGCTACACACGAAGCTACTCTATTCACGACGTTTAAGCGACACCTCTCCCCACATACCTGCAGTGCACATGCGACTAACTTTTCCAGTGCCCATACGGCGTATGAAGCGTCGCATGCCAGAACACGCACGCTGCTCTTAAGTGGGACTTTGTCCTCTGTAGCCCCCTGGCACGTCAGGTGGGAACCAGTTCGCCTGCGGCACACGTAGACAGACCACTCAACCTTGCCAAACACTAAGCTTACCCAGCACTGGCTGGTTGGAGAACTCAGAAAGTCCCCGATCCCAGGGTTGTACTTATTTGTACTTGGTACGGCTGCGATCATGCCTGATCTTGCCGGCCTCGATGATGTCCCGAACTGTACCTCTCCATGCGTGACGATCCGCGGCAGCTGATCTGGACAGCTCAACCCATTCTCTTCGTCAGCGATGGAGACCGAATACCCAAGCTCCAAAAACAATCTCCATGTCTTGACGAATTGTGTCGAGCCAGGTTTTGAGCTGACCCCCTCTTCGACGCCTCCAATGGGGCAATGGTGCCGGATCGCGGGCAGGAACACTGAGCTCCTGAGGTGGACGACGAAGAACATGCCCAAACCACCTTACGCTTGCGATGTTATCGCAGCGAGCGTGGACTGTCTCCTTCGAGACGAAGTCGGTGAACTCCGCTCAAAGGATGGTCCTCAAGCAGTGGTGGTCAAATACCTCCAGTTTTCGTTCGTCCTCCACGCGTACAGTCCAGCATTCGCAAACATAAAGGACAGATGCACGGTACACGCAAATCATAGTGGCGATGGAGAGGTCGCGTCGGATCCATAGACGCTTTCTAAGGCTTGAGAAAACCCCTCGGGCAGCATCGATTCGGGAGACAATGTCATCCTTACTCTACCCATTCGGCAGTAGCCTCGCCCCGAGGCATTTAAAACTGTCAACTTCTTCAAGTTGACAGCCATCAATCCCGAGATGTGCCTTCTCCTGGTCAGGGATGCAGTTTGAGAACACTTAAGTCTTCCCAGCGTTTATGCATAAACCGACCGATTGAGCGACCTCGTCCACCCGTGACACCATAGACTGCAACTCACCAAAACCTGATGCAAGTAAGCCGATACCATCGGGATAGTCGAGATCAGTCAGTCGGTGTCCGGGTGCAAATTCAACAGCTTCACCCTCGTGTAGGACCCTTCCGAGAATCCAGTCAATGGCGTAGTTCAACAGAACGCCAGACCGAATAACGAACAGTTGAGCAAGATTGTTGCGGACCAGGACTCTGGCAGTAGTTGAGCAATAATAGGCTTTGATTATGGCCATCATTTTTGCCGGTACACCATCTACAGCCATTATCCGCCAGAGGGACTCACGATGAACGGAATCGAACGTGGCGGCCAAGTCAATGAAGCAGACGGCCGTCGGCTGACATTGGGGAATAATCTTTGGGATAAATCAGCCTACTCACGCACGCCCACGCAGCCAGATGGCGCAGCTCACACCGTCGCGAAGTGCAAATGGCGTCACCACGCCGGGGGAACATCGTGGACCAGGCGGCACAAACCCTACCTAGCCACGGACGTACTCCCCCTCCCCCCCGCAAGGATGAACGATATAAATGTTCACAATTTGCTGCACTCGAGTAACCTCTGATGATGAACTCTAGTTCGAGTTCGAAAGCTCAGGCAAATAAACTTACTGTCCCAGTGATCGTGCCTTCGCCTTCTTTTAAACAAGAACCTGGGATGCGTATATTCTCTTCCACTCGTGAAATCAGCCTACTCTTCACTATAACTAATTTGTCACGCTTGAACGTAGCACAGAGCGCCAAGAATCGTGACCTAGGAATTTTCAACTAATGAGATAATTCAGTCCGTCTCAGAACTGAGAGCCAGCCTGCAGTGGCTCCTTACAAATGCGACCCTTATGACACTTAGTCACGTGAGATCCGAACCGTCCCTGACATGCATGAAGAGGACCAGGCTTTTAGGTTTTATCACTCACTGCATGCGCGCCTGCGCTCGGCCGCTTTGGCCTTGTCTTATCATCTGAGGAGAGAGTATGGAAGATCTGGCGAAAGTCTGCCTCCCTGTAAACGAATTTACCACGTCTTACCGGTGCCGGGAACATCTCGTGAGACACGCGGTGGGCGTCGCCATTTCCGTTACGGTTGTGTTTTTATGTGTTCGCACCGGAGCGATTTCAAACTAGAAAGTTGACTTTGAAGACGACGAGCTCCCGAAAGTGAATCAGCGGGGTGTATGCCAGAAATGCGAGACGGGGTTGACACACCACTATTAATCGTTGGCTCGGGGTCCTTCCGCAGGAATTATTCTCAAGAAGATTAAGAGGCGATGAGTGTCCGGACACTCGGCATCGAGTTGCTGACACAAACGTTAAAGATTCCTTCCATGCGGCGTACAGGGTACCACCAAAAGGGTCGAAACTGCCGCGTGAGCGTATATTGTCTGTGGCTACGTTGCTATCTCTCCAGACGATGCCATCCTCTTCTTCCGAGCAACGCTGACTTGGCTGACGTAACAACCAACCCAGTATGAAGACTGGATAGGCGGGTCCCTCTTCAAACCCGTCCTTGGAGTGCTGGCATCAGCTCTTCATCCCTCCTGCTTTTCCACCCCACATCAATCTCTCCTTCCCCACCGTAGATCGACTGTTACCATGCCAGACACAAGGAAGTGGGATTAAGCGGGACTCTTATCATTCTTAGTTTCTTCATTGCTACACAGCGCATCTAATGAAGGCCTTAATGCCTTTACTCATTACACCAGTCGAGATATGAAGAGATATCTCACCCAGGGGCCTGGAGTCACATTGTGCAAAAAAGTGGGCATGTTGGTTGGTGCTAGTGTAATGAGTGCATACATATTTACACGCGAAAGGGCGAAAATATCATCAAAACTGTTCAGGGAGGGAGCATTCTAAAACAACCGGGAGAAATCGCTACTTTCCAAATGGCCAGAGTGTGCGTCTCCCGTCAATAAGACGGCGGTAGAGGATTTCACGACCCTGAGGGGTAGACATACGCGCAGCCTCACTAAACTTCGTCTCCCGCTTGCCCATACACATGCGGTGGAGACGTTTGGTGCCTACAGTGGTAGGTCCAACGCGGAACATGACTTTCTGCATCATGCGTTCATATTCCCGAGGCAATTTATTGTTCCGCCAATTTCCTTCTTCGGTTTCTGGAAGAACCTAGGGGCAAAGAGAGTAAATTATTTTCTTCTACCTTATTTGTCAGATAAAAATATGGCGAATTCTCCATCAAAAACCGTACATTGTGCCATGCAGCTCCACCTAGAGCCCTCGCAGGCAGTCGTAACAAAGATAAGGGGGACTAGGGTGTTCGTTTCCCGTCTTATTAGGCCAGTCAAAAACAACTCCGGGTCTGAACAATCCGACACCGCCGGAATGGACTTTTTAGTCATTGCGTACTACGTATTTTAAAATTCAATTCTACTTTCAACAACTATCACCAAGCCGCATTTAGCCGGTCCCAAATCCCATTGTGTTGGGAGCCGGTTGGATATTTGCTTTGGAGTGTCTAGCTAAAATCTCAAAGACATTCGTCTCTATACCACTGTTGCACTCCTGAACACTGTGGAAAATAAAACCTGGGATTTCCCTCAGGATTACCTAACGTCATTTGTCCATTTTCCGTGCTACTTTGGATAAGGTATCGGAGCACTCGCAGGCGCGTATATCCGATGTTGACGCAAAGCATGACTAACCTATCTCAAACGGCAGCTCACGTAAGCGTCACCAACGCTGTAATACTTAGAGGCTTTAGTTGTCGAACAAATCGATAGTTAGACGGAAAGCAGTAGTAAAGGACGGTTTCGACAACAGCCTTAGGCACTGAGAGCTCTCCTAAGTGCGTAAGGTCTTTGCTGTTTCGAGTATGCCCCGCGGAAGCCTCCGTAGCTAACGATACCACGATGGTCTGAACTATATCATCAGAACTGCAAACTCCCCAAGATAGCCGAACCAAGGCATGGGTTACAGTGGTTAAGAAAAATAAAAATCTTAACCTCGACAAGGCGTCAATGGGCTCTGTCACCAAACGCTAAAAATACTTATGGGAAGTTGCCGTGTTAGGTGCTCAAATACTTCGTGCGACAAGCATAGTCGAAATCGACGAGAACTGCCGATGACCAGACAAACCCTGTCCGCGAAATTCGAAGCAGTGCATCATAGAAATCCACAGCAGCAAGATTTAAGCTCCCTTCACGAGACTTAGCCTTTTTTCTGGCGGAAACGCACACAGCCCATGATAAAATTCCCAACCTATCAGTCGTTGAAGGCCAGTTAGGAGATAGTCATGAGGACCAATGGCAACCAGTCTTACATCGTTCCACGCGCTTGCTCACAACAGTAGTTGCATAAGATTCACCGATAAAACGCGAATATCTTGCGAGAAAAGTACCGAAATGACTTAAGGAAGTTGCGGTCAGAATGCCATAGCCTTTGGCAATAAATTACCGTCATGACTGGCGTCTTGTACACCAAATTCTCGTGACTCTGGTGAGCAAGGTAGCACACTACTCATTATGCTGTTAAGTCAGCTTGGGAGAGAGGCCGATTAGGCGCGCAACAAGACAGGACATTCGTTTCCTATTCGCATCACCGGAAAGACGTCAATCATAACTACGCGGCCACGGCCGGCCCCACACACAATGTGGAGGAAAAACTGACGACAGATCTATTACATTGGCTAATGCCGAAAGTCTCCGTAAGACTATGGTCTTTGCATACAAAAAGCAATTGGGTATGCAAAAATCGTCTTTTCACTGGGCAGGCAAAAAATGAATGTGGCCCCTTGAACGAATTAGCTGAACCTAACCCTAGGACAGGATACACAAACTGTAACTTAGGGGTGTGCCAAATGGCTATAGATGGATAGTTCAGACCACGGCCTTGTGATCCCATAAATAAATGTACCTCAGAGAAATGAAACAAAAGTCCGTCGGGCAAATAGACTAAGTAGAAGAAGTACCTCAGGTTTGAAAGCGTAAGACAGATTTATGCTCCTGTACGAGGAGCTGGCTGCCCGTCTCAAATTTAAAGACACTTGTACGGCTGGTCTTAACAAGTTCATTTATATGCTAATGACGTCTATTAAGTGCCAGTTTCGATGTCAGCCAATGGACAAAAACACTTGGAGTGAAACGGGAGAAAAGGGGCAACTCGGAACAGAGAGCACACGCCCAATAGCCCAAAGACCAAAACTACAATAAGTAGCTTATGTGGTTAAACACTTGAAGTTAAATAAGAATCAGAAGACTAACAAGACAATTAAAGTCGTAAATTATCGAAAGAAATAAAGTTAAAGTAAAATGCGCTTTCATATAACAGGTATTAGGTGTTGAAGCTAGTCGTTCACGGTCTCTTTCTACATCGCTGAAGTAATTTACATACCCCCGAACTTGGCACATTAGATTTTGCGCAACAAAATTAACGTGTAGCGGACGATGACGTTGGAAGAAGCACGCACCAAGGCAGCGTAGCATCGGGAATAAATCTTGGCCAAGACCGGTTTGAATAGACTCGTTAACTAATCACATACTCGTCCATGTCAAAGATTAGAAGAAGAGATACGTAGACATAGAGGAATAAAGAGAACAGACGGAATCTAAAAATACGTGCAACAATGGTTGATTGTAACAAATAGGATAAGAAACGGCGAAGAAGTTACCTATCTGGATGGAGAGCTAACACTGACACGCCTGCTGAACAACCGGTGTGGACGCCGCACAGTGGGCAACCGCAGGGAGGGCCGTTGTAAGCGCCGATGTAGAGCGAGAGGAAAAAGGGAGGGAGCACTTTGTTATCATATGCGGAAAGGGGATTGACGTAGAGGGGACGCGCACGGCCATTTTCATCGACACGCATTTACACCATTTCTATATCAGAGACTGACAGTGCCCAAGGGGCGCTGTAATAAACCTATTCTATTCTATCCGCGCTGGCCGAAATGCACTTCGTTCAAGAAACTTTCTCCACTTCGTTACTTACGACAAAATTAAGCATTTCAAGCGGCCGTTTAAGTTTCACCAAAAAGGTGTCTCGTGCTTAAAAGGAAACTTGTGGGCTGATCAAATGATATCCAAAGGGTTCAGGGATCGGCGATCTGGCGGACGAAATTGTTTTAGATGAGCTAGAAATGACTATTCTCATCTAGTAGAGTCTGGTTTTTTGGCGCCGTCACGTTCACGACAAACTTGATATCGTCAAAGAGGAATATATTGCAGAAGTTCCATATTCTGCCCAGCGCTGCTATAGTCGCCTTTAATTAAAGTGCTCATAGGGTGGAGTCGTAACGGTGAAATCTAGACGACGGTTAGCGGGGAGGCGATGAATATCAAGCAACTTTTTAATTTATCGACAAATAGCCGGTTGATCAGAAATGAAGCTGTCCGAGGAAACTCTTGCACCGTGTACAAATTCACTGCAGTAAACCGGGAAGTGCACTCGAGGCCCGAAATCTCTACTACCAACCTATATAATGTCTCCTCGAAGGCTTTTTGAGTTGATTCCTACATTTTCGAAGGAGGATACGACGGGAAAACTGACACCATTTACAAAGATGTTCACCGTGCGTTCCACATCGAGGTGAGAATAGTGGCGGTGGCTTGCTTCTGAATACATAAATAGTGATAGCGGCCGTTTGCAGCTGTTACCGTGCTCTCTCCTCCACTGTCTGGTCCCAGCCTCGTGACAGGCTCTAGAAGACAGGGACAGGAGAGGTCGCGGGTGAATGCACGACATAACTCCAAACCACGTCCTTTGGTCCACAACGTACACTACCCAGGATTTTGCAAAGCTGTATCAAGAGCGCCTTAGGGCCCAACTAGCGCGGCCTGGGTCTGTACCTGGGATTGCGACCGTACAATCAATGTTGCCACTTACTGTGAGTGCGCATTCCAATTAACAGTTGTCGAATGCCGACCTAGTCCCCGTGTTGGTCCAATGTATTTACCCCGCGGCCCGTTTTAGGGGCAGAAACCGGAAACCATCGACGATTTGGCATGCCCGCTATACACTTAGGACGTCGCCGAGGTGACGAAGCTCATTGTTTCGGACCTAAGTCGAAGTCAGTCACTTTAGTTGGGGAATAAATATTTCGTTCCTGGACTCCCTTTTCAATATCAATTTTTACGATACCCATTTCCGGGACGTGTAAAGCCATCGGTGTGTGTCAGCCAGGCGCAAACTGCTAACAATGAGACAATCTTGATAAGACATGCAATAGTTTCCTAACAGATATGTATATAGTCTGCATCTAAATGTATCAATAGTGCCTGAAAGCACCACCACAGTAAGAAGGCCGCGTCAGGCTCTACGGCCCTCAGCGAGAAGCTTTCCATCGGTCTTTGCATGGAACCACTTTCTTTGAAGTTTGAAGAGACGATCATGCAAACGGTTCCTTTCCGTCAATTCGGATAAACCGCCAAAATAAGGGCTCACCCTCGGCATTCGACAGCCCAGTTTGCCAGGAGCCCGTTATTTAGAGGAAACCAATTATTTTCAGTCTAGTTTGCTTCTCTAGACAGATGACTAAGATCACTAACCATTTTTGTAACCTTTGCCTGCGCTCATTCCCAAAGTTAATAATCTTTCTTGAGCCGAACATGCCTGGTCCGTCGGCATGCTTCAAATAGGGCTATACAAACACCACACAAGTGTTTGTGAACGTTTCGTAGTCAGTTTGTATCAGCGCTGACTTCAGCGCGAATAGCACCAGAGTCGCACTCTTAGTCGCCTTCAAACACTGTGACGATGGGTTAGGCAAGGAGGTCATTACGACACTGAGACATTTCTTTCTCTCAACATTTGAAAACGGTTGACCGTCAAAAAGGTGTCAGAAAGGATCATCTTTCTCGTTGGCCCTTCGAGTGTAGGTTTGTCGAAACATACAAGCACCAACATTAAAATCAAGGACCCAACGAGATGATTATTTGCTAAGTCGGCTATGACTTACCGGTCCGCGTTGCGCCTGGTGTTGTTATTGCCATTGGCTTATAAGTACCATGTGCAGCTGGGTCATGGAAAGTGAGGACCGATAAAATGTAGGTGGACGGCCGGGCATCGAGCCGAATAAATAAAGAAATCCTGCGCCTAAACCGTCCTTGTAATTACACGTATCAGACTGAAAGCATGCACGGATCCCGACTACACGAGCATGAGCTGGCTGTGCGACTGGGTGTCGGGATAAGGTAACTAACAATGATGATCGCGATAACTGCCGGTTTACAGCACTGTCAACTTTAATATACAATATGGATCGACCCAAGCACTGAAAAAATCTTCTGACGTTTAAACACAACTTCTGGTTTTGGATAGTTGAAATTGTTCAATTTCAAAGATAAGTGAAGCTCTGCATTTATCTGGATATTCTTAAGTAATTAATGCCTGTTTTTTACTTCAGTCCCTTTTAAAAGTCGCCCTTCAATATAAGGTAACATTTTTTTCCCAGTTTTGTTTGACAGTCTGGCAAAATAGTCGTATTTTGTAAAAAATCCATTGTAGTGAATACTTTCCCTACTACCGCTCTCTAGTTTTTGTAGTTAAATAACAGTAATACTTGCTATTCAGTGCGCTTTTCCTTTCCCTACTACCGCTCTCTAGTTTTTGTAGTTAAATAACAGTAATACTTGCTATTCAGTACGCTCTTCCGTACGTTGGAAACGTTTTGATCCTTCTTCTGTAACGAAAACTTTTTTTGTCTGTAGAGCCCCGCAGAGCACGTGCTAAAAGGCGAAAGCTTGCGGCCTCCCCACCGTCTCTGGGTGCTAAAATCGTGACTGAAGACATAGCAGGTGCCAGCGTATGTTCTTCGCCGTCTGCAGATCTAATTAACTTACAAATCCCTTTAGTACATGTAGAACCTCTCGACCCTTCAGTCGTCCAAAAATACGCCTCTGCCAGTCGTAGCAGGCCATCAGCCGGCGAAATAATCGATCAGCTGATTTATGGAGACATAAACAGCACTTCTGAAAAAGTGCTTGAACAAACTTTTAAACTCATTGGGGTAATAAGTTCGGAAACTGAGGAACGAATTAAACGCAAGCATAATTTCGTACTGCGAAACATTCCGAGCCACTTATCTGCTATGGAGAGAGCGCATTTGTTCCTACAAGGTTGTGGCTTGAGTTTCAGTGTCGCACAAGCTAAGCGACTTCGCTCGCTTAGCCGTAATGCGCCGATACTAGTTACCCTTTTCTCCATGATAGAAGTCGATTTTATCTTGTCGAGTAGGGAGATGACTAGAGACATCTGCGGTAAATGGCGCTGCTCCGTTTCGCCAGAACTCACACCCCTGCAGCGAAGACTGAATAAACTAAAATCGGCAAAAACCAGCACCAAGATAATGACACCTACTGTCAGTCTGAATATGTCCTCTACAACACCACCTGCGGCATTTGCAAGTCACGGCATAGTCGGATTTCAGCACTTACCCCTAGTAGTCGCCCATACAATCTTCGCAATTCGTCTCTAATTATACCTCTTCCAGCGTCCTCCACCTCTAAGCGCTCCCTTTTTTTCGCTTCCAGGTATACTTTCCTCTGGAATAACCTTCC